CTCGGACACAAACTGCAGGGTCTACAGTTTGTGAATCACCTAAATCTATGTCTCCACTCAGTTCAGGACTCATACAGGAACCAGATTCAGCCCAGATGTGTAGCAGTCACAGACTTCCTCAGCCCTCACCTCACTGGAGGGTCTGGGCGAAGGCAAAGCACAGACTCGAATCCACTGGCCCTGCAGCTCCTGGAGTACTTGCTCTCTTGGCGTAGGGTGCATGGGGCTCAGAGAGTCTGCTTGCCTGGCTCTGAGAGCCTGCTCGCCCCGTCCTCAGCCAGAGAAGTCCCTGAGCCGTTCAGTCCCGATCTCCTCTCTGCTGCCACAGTGACTCAGTCTGCAATGTCCGGGCGGTCTTTGTTCTCGCATCCTGGCCTCCGGGATTGGGTGGGACCTACCTGGCTCTGTGCATGCTTTTCAGCTGGGAATCGTGGTAGTATGAGTCCGGTCCACACTTGGACCCAGGAGCCCTGCCCCTCCCGGAGAACTCACTGCCTGGGCGCAAGGCGCGGGGGTTCGGGGAGCCTGCTCGGCTGGTCCAAGGACCTGCTTGCCCCGCCCGTCCCCTGGGCCTCCCTGCCCCTAGCAACTCAGTCTGCAATGTCTGCGGGGTCTTTGTTCTCACGTTCTGGCCTCCGGGATTGGGTGAGGCCTACCTGGCTCTGTGTGTGCTTTTCGGCTGGGAATCGTGGTGGTATGTGTCTGGCCCACACTCGGACCCAGGAGCCCTGCCCCTCCCGGAGAACTCACTGCCTGGGCGCAAGGCGCGGGGGGCTCAATTTTCATTATTTCTTATGGAGAAATTCACTATGATATTCAAGTTCTTTGGGTTACAAGCAAGTTTCCACAATGAAGTATTTTTAGAAACCAAGGTTTTAATGTATTTACTTAGCATCATTGTTACTGTAGATAATGTTTACACCAACATGAGCAGTGGTCTAGGAGAACTTATATATCAGTGAGTAGCATACATCTCCTATGTTTTTCCCTTTGTTTGTCTCTTTAGATTTATTACAAATAGTGCTGGTAAAAAAATCAATGCCCACATTATTCTGTGAAAATTTCACCTAGGCAATGTTGAGCAGGCCTTCTACTTAAGGTTTCATGTTTTCCCTCCCTTTCAAATTATCAGCTACTCACCTTATTGGGCAAGGCTGCATCAATCTCCTGCTGCAGTTTCTTCTGCACATCTGGGTGAGTGGCCAATTCATACATAATGAAGGAAAGAGCACTGCTAGTGGTCTCATAACCAGCAAAAATGAAAACAATTGATTGGGCTGCAATCTCTCCATCAGAAAGAGCTGAAAGAAGAAGAAAGACTTTCAGGTAAAGTAGATCTTCCTGGTTTAGATGGGGAGAAATCTATATGAAGCTACCAATGGGGAGAAACTTGGGAAAGCAATGCAGCATCACACAGTGAGTGGATTTCACTCTAAGGTGTGTCCTTCAAACCAGAAAAAAGACAAAATGATTTTAATCCACCTGTCCCAGTTTGATTCTACTTCTTGCCATCTGCTTCCCTCTATGCCTTTGGATTCACCACATAGCTGGGTAATTTCAAGACATGGTTTCAGTCTAACATGCTCACTGTTACAATACACCTTGGCTTATCATAAATTAGCCTTGAATAAAATATGAGATTTTTTCTCCCCAGAGAAATAAAAATTTTGTCAAATATGGCTGAATAATTCTGAAGAGAGTTTGTCCAAATAAGACTTCACTGTATGTAAGATTAAAAGATCTTAATCATGTGTGAGAGAACTCAAGAAAACATTATTAAGGTGTGAAGAAATTTCTGCATCTCAAAGTGTAATCTATGGCCAGAAACATCTGGGAGCTCAGTAGAATTGCCAAAGCTAAAGTCCCATCGTAGAAATAGCAAAATAAAAAGTGGACCTTTTAAAATATGTTGTTTTGAGCTACAACCTTGATGAGAGAGGAGGTAATGTAGTACAACATGTAACAGCCTTATCAATAGATTAGTGTACAATGCAGTAATGATTGACTGCAGTTGAAAGAATGGCATTAAAGTAGTAGGAAGAAGAAAGTGTGGATAAAGGGATTTGGGCATGACTTGTATGAAAATGGCAACCAGTGAGTTACATTAGCAACATTTATTCAAATTACATCCACTATCTCTCTAATTTTATCTCATCCAACCCCCTTATGATAAGATGTTGGCCTCCATTTTGATTTTGTCTTGACATAGATCACCACCATCATGAAATAATCTGTTTTTTTGTTTATTCCCCCTTTATAGCTGGAACTCTAAAAGAAATATGTTGGGCACCCCATTCATAGTTTGAAATATTAAAGATGATATAAAATACATCTTTGAAGGGTTTACCCAGTTCTGATTTCCAATGATGCCTTCTTTGCTGCTACTGTAGAAAAACCCAACAAATCAAGTAGGTCCTCCCAGGTGGCACAAACCTGTGTTCCTGAATTGAAAGTGAATTATTCACTCAAAATTTTTAATACTGCTGTGCACTGTGGTTGTGTACAACACATGGCTAATTGAATTGAAATTGAAATATATTAAAAATATATATTTGAGTTCATTACTTCTGTGGAACCAGCCAAAGGCCAGTATTAGAATTATTTAGCAGTTATTTTGAATATGATAAAAAGAATATTTCCTTCACCAATGGTTTTAATAAACCAGAAGGGCAGACAGAGAGAGAGAGAGAGAAAAACAGACAAACACAGAGACAGACACTGAGACAGATGCAGAGACAGACACAGAAACAGAGACAGACAGACAGAGACAGAGAGCGATTGTTACACAGAAAGATGGATAGAATCAGACACACATATTTATATAGACAGAATGCTGTGCTATGGTCAGATCACCTCTGCTCTAGCACTCATTGCTAAGAATTCGGAACTTTTGTTAGAGTCTTCACACTATTGGTAGCTTGAAATTGACCATGATAGAGTTGTTGTAATTATGCCAAAGAAATAAGGGATTCATCAGAATTTTTCAGTGCGAGGATGGGAGAGAAAGAGACAGAAACAGAGAAAATGTGTGAGAGAGGCATCTTACATCACTGTACATGGTGTCATAAAAATACTCAGTTCTTTGCAAATATTTTTCATTTTTTTAGCCTTTTCCACCTAGAATGTAAAAATAAACCAAAATACCAGCAGATATTATCACACTGCCCAAATATTTTGGATTCTAATTGCCATTTCTTGCTACAAGATAGCATATATCTTTAGGAAAATGGCTGATACCAGGTCTCTCTGGAATAATAGAAAGGAAACTTGGAATATCTGCTAACAGACAGCAAGATATTATGGAGAAAATGAAGGTAAAAAGAAACACAATTTTCTGGCTGCTACAATAATTGAGGGGGATATGTGTTATTATACATTTGTCAAAATGTATAGAATATACAAGGCTGGGAATGAACCCTAATGTAAACTATAGACAGTGGTGATAATATCACACTGGATGCTGACTGACTCTAACACATGTACCTGTCAGGCACGGGATGCGGAAACAGTGGAGTGAATGTGTAAATAGTTTTGAAAGTATATGAGAAATCTGTACACTTTCTCGGTAATGGCCCTAAGAATTGAACATTACTTTTAAAAATTTACCTAAGTGTTTTGACCAATTTTGCATGCTTATATCTGGTAATCAGAACAACTAGATTGAAGACAACAGTATGCAATATAATGGCAATTGTTAAATTCCTATCATCTTATTTGATGAAGCTCGGTATCGTGTCTAATTTTTAATTACCTGTTACTGTCTTTAATTTTTGATAAATCTTGCATCTGGTAATTTGAGCAACTTCATTAAAGATGATAATATGCAATATAACAATGATTGTTAATTCCTATCATCTTTTTTTGAAATCCTGACACATTTTTATTGTTTTTGTTGTTTTTGTCTTAATTGTTATTTTGTTATTGTTTTTTCCCTTTAAAGTAAAACAATGAAAAAATTACATAACAGGCCCAGAGTACCCAGTAGACTACTTAAAAAGACGTTTAGAGAAAAAGTCTTAATAAATCTAAACAACAAGAAGATGAGAAAAAGTGAGTTTTTGGGAGTATGTAAAATCACACTAATATAAATAAGTGAGCAAACATACTTAAATATAGTGGGAAGAATTGAAGAGTCACGTTATATTGAGTACTAATATCTGAACATAGAAGAAATGATGGAACTTAAAAGTCATCATTTTTTCACATTTTCACTATAATGCTCTTAGACAAAAACCATCTGTGGATGAAAATACCAGTGTGTCAAACAAAGTATGAAGAAGAAGGGAATATTTCCACAATCGTAAAGATTTCTCCAAGCTCCTACTCATTTGGAACAAAAAGAAAAATCAATCTTTATGCTGGCCTGTCCAGGAGAACTGTCTCACCAAATACTCCTACCGAGCAAAACGACCTTTAATCCATGTGCCTCTGATTGGTTGTCTAAATGCAAATTTCAAGGGAGCCATTCTGATTTACTGAATGTGGGTAAGGTTGAGAATCAGCACTTATTCAGATGTAGGTGAACCCAGACCTTCATGAATTCCACCCATGAAATGAGAGCTTATAGTTGCCCTTTAATGTTGGAATATACTTAGCCCTGTGCTTACTACAAAGTAAGTCTGCTCTCATAGGTAATATTCATATGTGTGTTTTTGGTCCATTGATAGCAATGCTCCTCTGCCTGTAGTCTTTCCTTCACAATTCCAGAACAGGCTTTTGCTTCCTCTCAGCTTCCTTTTCCATAGACCATGAAACATTGTTAATTACCTTTATAGGACTCCGTTTCTTGGGAATTCTGAGAATTGATCATCAATTGAAGCAAATCCACTCGGTGCTTGAAGATAAAAGAGAATATTGAAAGACAGACCAAAGCTGAACTTGAAAGTAAGTCAGGACTTTACCTTCTTTGCATATGTATTCTTCAGGTCCTGAAGTTTGGCTGAGGTTTCCATCACTCTCTAAATCTTGGAGAGCAGAATTTTTCTCTGTATGAAAACCAGCTAGTGTATCCAACAGTACTTTGTAACTATTCTCCCCAGTCCTGAACTTCTTTTTTTTTGTTTTGTTTGTTTGTTTTTTTGTTTTGTTTTTCCTGAACACAGTTTCCTGGTCAGAAAGTTGCCTGCTACCCCTGGAACATCTACTTGCTTGAAAGCAATGCCACATTTCAAAACTTCATATTTTCCTGTTTAATCCTTCACCAGTGGTCCCATAGATTAATCACTTGCTATATGTTGATCTCAGAAGCAGAGACAACCATCCCGAAGCATTATACCATTTTGGAATGCTATACAATTCTCAGTAACACCTGATATATATGCAGTTCTGCTTTTCTCATTTTCAGGCTCCCAGGCCACATAAAGACTCAAGTGAATTTCTCAGCTTACTACCCCCAAACCCAGGGGACAACCTTGAGTACTGCAGGCCAGGAAAGGTGGATATTTAACATAGACCAAATTGCAGTACTAGGGATTTCCGTTGGACAATGTGTTTAATAAGTGGCTTGGATTTGAAAGAATTTCTTACCAATATAAGATCTGGGGATTATAGTATCAGTACATATAACTGGTAAGCACTAATATTTTTCTTTGGACAGTTTATTGAAACAAAGAGCCAAATGTTTATTCTAAGAATATGTATGTCAAGTTGTACTACTGACTTCTATCACTTTACTGAAAGGAACAGTTAATGATTAATTATTTGATCAATCTTGCATGTCTATATTTGTTTTCCTGAGTAACTACTTTGAAGGTATCAATATGTAATATAATAACCATTGTTAATTTCCTATCACCTTGTCTGTATTTCAGTATTGCTTGTATTGTTCTTGTGCTAGTTTTAAATGGATGTCTGTTTGTTAATATGTTTTTGTTCTTTTATTTTTAAAATGAAAAAATATGTATGTCAGAGGACACTAATTCTTATGTTTTCTTTTCAGTGCTAAATTGTTTCTCTGACTGTCTCTCATCACAACTTCCTAAACATCATATTCTTCACTACCACACACAAAAACTTCAGTCACCCACATTTACCTTCAACAAAAAGAGAAGCAAGTACACTGATCATAACCATACATCCTAAAAACATTACTAAATGTCAAAATTCTTGTTTTACCACCACTACATTTTACCTTCTGGTTATTGTCCTGACGCTTTTCTCTTACTCTTCTTACAAAGTTTACGAAAAATTGTACAGACTCTTTTCCAAACACGGATATATTGAGCTTCTCAAATACTGGGATAAGGAATGAAAACAGAACTGAAATGAAAACAAAAGGAGCCTTGAATGAAAATTCAAAATGTGCCTGCTTCAATTACTATTCTGAAATGATCAGAAGAATAAAAGGCATTAGTGTTAACCAGAATCCATTTCTTCTGTGACTTTCACTTGGGATGCTCTAAGACACTTATTTAGCTGGGATACATCACACAGAGAGTCACCACCCTACTGAGATTGCTGGCCATCTCTGTAACTTTAGAGTGACCAAAGAAGCTCAATTAAATTTCCTGAAAATTTGTCTTAATGTGAACTGTGATAGGCATTTGGGTAAACCTCCAGACCATATTCTTGTGATTTAAGTGTATGTCATTCAACAACTGATAAGAACAGAACCAATGCAGCACATGTTCTTCAACTATGTACCTTTGAAGGAAGCCACGGCTCAAGAACAGAAATAAAATACTGGATCTTACAAATATTTCAAAGTAATATTTGCAAAGTATACCCTCCATAATAAGCAGTGGGTGAAAGGAGAATTCCAATAATTTAAAGGGCATAGTAAATGTGGGGAAGGTAAGGGAATCTGAGCATGGATGTGGAAGAGGTGAGAAGTAGAAGAAATTGTAAGTGAAACAGAGAAACTGGCCGGGCTGGCGAGTCATTGTGAGGCACACAGAAGGCGGCCAGTACAGTTTATCGCTGCATGCCCTGCGCCGAGATTGCGAGTACTCTGGGAGCTGCAGGGACTGTGGGTTCGAGTCTGTGCTCAATCCAATCTACCACGATTCCCAGCTGAAACGAATGGAGAGCCAGGTACTTCCCATCTAATCCCTGAGGGCAGAATGCGTGAACAAGGACCCCGCAGACATTACAGACTGAGTTGCTTCAGCGCCAGAGAGGCCCCGGGCAGTTCTCTGGCTGTGGGCAGGGCAAGCAGGCACTCTGAGCAGGCCAAGCTGACTCTACCAGCCCCGCGTGGACTGCGCTAACACAGTGAGTATTCCGAGAGCTGCAGGGCCTATGGATTAGAGTATGTGCTTTGCCTTTGTCGAGATCCTCTAGCGAGTCGAAGGCTGGGGAAGTCTGTGACTGTTACCCATCTGGGCTGAATCTGGTTCTGGTATGAGTCCTGAACTGAGTGGAGACATAGATTTAGGTGGTTAACAAACTGTAGACCCTTCAGTTTGTGTCCGAATAATGCCTGTACCCTAAACTGCCTGGAGACATAGGTCCACTGGAGCGGGATTGTCTCACCAGTGCAACCTGAGTCAGGTCCCCCACGTGCACTGAACTGCAAGGGGACTCTGGATCAGAAGGTCGGCCATCAAATGACACAAGTGCCCATGTTCGAGAACTGGGATAACTAGATACAAATCAAAAAGTGCCAGAAAAGCCGAGGCTAAGTAGCGCTACTCAGAGGTCACCCAGCGGCAAACCTGAACAACAGGAAAAATAGGAACACTAGTGGTCTTGGCTGTACAGCTACTGAAGAGGGAAACTGAGCTTTCTGCAAGCAATAGCAAACATGTAAAAATGAAAGACTAAAACACAATCCCAGAACTCCACCCCAATCAGACATGTCCAGGAGACATTAACATAGGAGAACTTGGTAATCACATGCCTGAAATAGCTGAAATGATTGCAATGGAGGTAAAGAAACAACTGCATAAGGCCATAGAAGAGATGAGATCAGAAATAATTTCTCAGGCAAAAAGTGAAATGACAAGAGTAGTGAAGGAAATGCTCAAAAAGCCTGAAGAAGAAATCTATAAGAAAATAGAAGAACAAAGACAAGAGTCAGAAGAATTCAATGAAAAATATAAAAAGGACTTAGAACACATGAACCAGATTCTAAGAGACATCCAGGAAAACAAAGCTGCCACTGAAAGCTACAAAAACCACTTGAATGAAGCTGAAGATAGAACCTCAGACCTTGAAGACAGCATGGTAGCTAGCGACCTAGAAAGAACAGATCTCATAAAATCAGCAAGGATCCAGGAAAAGTAAATTCAACAGCTGCAGGATGAGGCAAAGAGGAATAATGTTCAAATTATAGGTATCAATGAAACAGCAGGAAGCAACACAAATGACATTAAAAGATTGCTGGCAGAAATCATAGAAGAAAATTTCCCAAGCATGGAAACAGAACCTGATATGCAGGTAAATGAGGCATTTAGAATGGCAAACAAACACAACCAAAATAAAACTACACCCAGACATACAATAGTCAAGTTACCAGATCTCCAGCAAAAGAAGAGAATAGTAAAAGCTGCTCGAGAAAAGAAACAGATTACCTCCAAAGGGAAGCCCACCAGAATCACAGCAGACTTCTCAGCACAAACCATCCAATCAAGAGGAGCTTGGAGTGAAATGTTATAGGCCCTGAGACAGAACAGCTTCCAACCAAGACTGATGGACCCTGCCAAACTGCCTCTCAAATTCAACGGAGAAATAAAATATTTTCACGAAAAAGAACAATTGAAGAAGTTTATGAGCACCAAGGAAGAATTACAAAGAGTACTAAAAGATATTCTGGGCAGACTGAGTTGCTAGGTGCAGGGAGGCCCAGGGGACAGGTGGGGCGAGCAGGCCCTCTGAGCCGGCCCAGCAGGCTCTCCCAGCCTCCTGCGCCTTGCGCCCTGGCAGCAAGATCTCCGGGAGCGGCAGGGCTCCTGGGACCGAAGGTAGGTTGGACTCATACCACCACGAATCCCAGCTGAAAAGCACGCACAGAGCCAGGTAGGCCCATCCAATCCCGGAGGCCAGGACCCGAGAACAAAGACCCCGTGGACATTGCAGACTGAGTCACTGTGGTGGCAGAGAGGAGATCGGCACTGAACGGCCCAGGGTCTTCTCTGGCTGGGGCCTGGGCAAGGCAAGCAGACTCTCTGAGACCCACGCACCCTGCGCCAAGAGAGCAAGTACTCTAGGAGCTGCAGGGCCAGTGGATTCGAGTTTGTGCTTTGCCTTCGCCCAGACCCTCCAGTGAGGGGAAGGATGGGCAAGTCTGTGACTGCTACACATCTGGGCTGAGTCTGGTTCCTGTATGAGTCCTGAACTGAGTGGAGACATAGATTTAGGTGATTCACAAACTGTA